CAAAATTGCCGAATTGGGCCGTTTTGCGCGGTTTTGGAAAATTCCCCGAGCCCTAGCGTTTCTACGTTGCCGGAGGTTCGACTCTATGCCGCTGCTCGATGAACGCGAGCAGTCAAGAATTTGCCTCAAGGTGAGCAGCTTGCCGAAAAACAACAACGTTTTAGAAATGGCGCCGTTTGGACCCATTTGGACCCATTTGGGGGCCGAATGCTTACGCCCGCGTTTGTGCACCCCTACTAGCCCATGCTTGAATCTGAACAACCCTAAAACCACCTTAAATCCTAAACCCTAAAGCCTAAACCCTCAACCCTAAAACATGGCCTCTGCGAGCGCCGCCTGGAAGGCATTCACGGCCTCAGGGCCTCAGGGTTTTGCACTGCGAGAAGTTCACTAAAAGGGGGGGTCTCCTTTAGGGTTCCTTAAAAGGGATCTATAGGGGGGTCTAAGAGGGATCTATAGGGGGGTCTGTAGAGGTACTAATGGGGGAGTCTCCTTCAGGGTCACTTAAAGAAGGGATCTGTAGGGGAGTATATATAGAGGTACCATAAGGGTGTAAGGGTGTAGAATCCAGAGAGCCCAAGACCATAGGATTTAGGGCCATAATATAGGGTTTTGGGGCTTAGAGCCACAGCACGATTCATTCACCTCAACGGACAAACAACAACAAAAACAACAGCAGCAACAACAACAGCAGCAACAGCAACAGCAACAAAAACAACAACAACAACAACACCAACACCACCAGCACCAGCACCAGCACCAGCACCAGAACCAGCACCAGCACCAGCACCAGCACCAGCACCAGCACCAGCACCAGCACCAGCACCAGCACCAGCACCACCAAGAACAACAAGAACAACAAGAACAACAAGAACAACAAGAACAACAAGAACAAACAAGAACAAACAAGAACAAACAAGAACAAACAAGAACAAACAAGAACAAACAAGAACAAACAAGAACAAACAAGAACAAACAAGAACACACAAGAACACACAAGAACACACAAGAACACACAAGAACACACAAGAACACACAAGAACACACAAGAACACACAAGAACAAACAACAACAAACAACAACAAACAACAACAAACAACAACAACAACAACAACAAACAACAACAAACAACAACAAACAACAACAAACAACAACAGCCAACAACAAACAACAACAAACAACAACAAACAACAACAAACAACAACAAACAACAACAAACAACAACAAACAACAACAAACAAACAACAACAAACAACAACAAACAACAACCAACAACAACAAACAACAACAAACAACAACAAAAAAAACAAACAACAACAAACAACAACAAACAACAACAAACAACAACAAACAACAACAAACAACAACAAACAACACCAAACAACAACAAACAACAACAAACAACAACAAACAACAACAAACAACAACAAACAACAACAAACAACAACAAACAACAACAAACAACAACAAACAATAACAAACAACAACACACAACAACAAACAACAACAAACAACAACAAACAACAACAAACAACAACAAACAACAACACACAACAACAAACAACAACAAACAACAACAAACAACAACAAACAACAACAAACAACAACAAGCAACAACAAACAACAACAAACAACAACAAACAACAACAAACAACAACAACAACAACAACACCACCACCACAACAACAACCACAACCACAACCACAACCGCAACCGCAACCGCAGCCACAGCCACAGCCACAACCACAACCACAACCACAACCACAACCACCACAACAACAACAACAACCACAACCACAACCACAACCACAACAACAACAACAACCACAACCACAACCGCAGCCGCAACCACAACCACAACCACAACCACAACCACAACCACAACCACAACAACAACCACAACCACAGCAACAACCGCAACAACAACAACAACAAGAACACGAACAATAACAAGAACAACCGCACGTGTCGTTTTCCGTCCCGCGTTTTGTGTGAAAATACGCGTTTCGCCACAG